TGGTGGCCATGTATTTTGACACCTGATCTTGACCAATACGCTCGCCCTATGAAATGTTCTGCGCTCGCTGTGTTCGATTGGGATCACGTTAGTGCGGATCTTATACAAGCAGTGGTGGGCTGGGCTCAGTGGGAGAAAGAAGTGCAGGAGAGGGGGGTTGTCATTCCAACGGTGCAAATATTAACTGACAATTTTGGAGCAGTTAACCAAGCATTCGCAGTCACCGCCCTTGGAGATATTGACTTTCAAAGTGTTGTTGATCTTCATCACCGGCCAAGCCGTAGCGATGATGCGATTTTACAACGTGAAGAGAAGGCTGAAAGGTCGCATGGTGTTTCCAACATATATATATTGCACAGCGTCGCAAGACGATTCTTGCAGATAGGGGCATGCCTTTCTGGCTTGATTAAATTTCTGTTTCTGTTTGTACGGGTGGTTGCGAACATGGCAACGACGCATCTGAGAGGTCAAATGTCATCAGAGTTGCAACGCTGTTTATTCTCAAACATATAACGATTGACCCAAACGCGAGGCAATTGGATTCAGACGCAATTCATGAAGTGCCCCCAGGATTAGGAGAGCTCATAGACCAGATTTGGGATCAGCCGTTCAACCGTTTCCCCGCCCACGGAAGATGGGGAATGGTTCTTTTAGCTGTGTGCGAGATGATCTTCTTATTCAGGTATGCGGGAATTCCTGTTGCGTTTCCCGGGTAGGAAATACAGCGCACTCCGGTATCTGATCAATCTTTGAGGGATGCTCATGCTTTGGATTGTCGAATCTGATCAGCAATCGAAGCATTCGGTTTGCTTGATACCTGGCTTGAAAGTTTTGGAACAATCTCCTTAGTAAGATGAGGGCGGGAAACGGCACAGCCGATTCTCCTACTGAGACGGTTCAGGCTGGGTCACCAGCGGGTGGCCCGGCTTCAGATGCCGACAATATTACCACGCAGCGAACTGGGCAACGTTCTCGGCCACCGAGACCGCTCAAGTCGTAAGGGAAGACATCTCATCGTGCTGCTCCCTACCCGTGAGCGCACGAGACTGGATGGGTTGAATCGGACAGAGTTCGATCCTGGGCGGATGGGCCCAGGACTGAGACATATATACCACAGACACCGGCAGTTACGCCAGGTGGCGGATCTTCCCGCGATGGCCATGGCGCTGGGCCGCTCGAGGACGGCATCTACGACGCGACCGTCGACTGCGAAGACAAAAGTGAAACTGAAGGGATTCAATGATATTTTGCACAATTTTCTCGACATCAGTCAGTTGCTGGTCACAGCAAAACGCGGCAATGGTTTAGGCTTGATGCGTGCATTGAGAAATTCCGCCGATCTTCTGGATCATCCAGAAATTTGCGAGTGCCCGCGCCTCCACCTGCGCCGAGGGCGAGTTGATCGGAGAAGGGCCAGGGCAATAATGAACAATATGAATGGAGCCCACCAAGTGACTGGAGCACAAGAAGAGAATGGCAATGGGGGGGCTCTCGGGAGTCAAAAGGCCGTCGGAGAAGGCGAAGATGAAGATGGCAGGGGTCTGCGCGACGCAGTCGGTGCTGAGTCGTACTAGTTCGTGGAGCGGATGCACCAGGTGTGCACTGGCATTGAGACCTGAGCTGAGAATATTAACTCAGGCGGGAAACGTCGGGTTTCTCCGGCCTTCCGCCCCCAGGCACCAACCGTCGAGCGGTAAAACTTTTCTTTTGGGGTTCGCCCCGCTGGTTGTACATGCGTGCAGGCCTGGTGGGTGGGGGCCGGGGCGGCTCTGCGCATCCCGCCGCGGGGGGAGTCAACGCACCCCTCCGCGCCACCTGGTTCCTGCCCTTCTCACCCACATTTCGTTGCACTGCCATGTATTGTGGTGCTTGTGACCTGCATGTTACCTGAAGCTGTTTGGCTCGCGCGTGACAGAAAAGGAGCGCGCCCGCGCGCGGCCGCCTGTGACGGCTGGCGGGCTTGCCTCCTCCCTTCAGGGTTGCATATGTTGTATATTTCACGGCATTATCATTTCTTGCCCATGTCTTATGTGAAGCCCATTGGCTATGAGACACCATCGGGACAGATTGCAGGGATGACGGATGTCTAGGCGAAAGACTGACTGGGATTGAGGATGCTGTCGACGATGGCGACGAAGATGACGACAACGATGCGAATCCGGATGATGACGAAGATGGTAATGCTGCTGCGTTTAGCGGTGGTGGCGAAGGCAATCATGCATATGATGATTGTGGTGCCGATGGTGGTGGTGATGGTGGTGATGTTGACGATGTTGGGAACGATGGTGATGACGATGATGATGAGGATGGTGGTCATAACGACAACGACGATGGCATCACGGTATTGGTTTGCGTCGATGAATGCGGTTCTTAATCACGACGGTTTTGATGAGCAGGAGACACAGAAAAGGAGGACAACTAGAAGGAGGAAAGGAGAGAGGCATGGAGCAGGGGGCGAGGACCTGGGAAAAGAAGGGAGGAGGGAGGAGGGATGAGAGAAAAAAATGAGAAAGGAAGAGAAAAGGAGGAGAAAGGAGCAGGGGCAGAAGAGGGAGCCGGGAACGAAGGGGGGTGGGGGAGGAACCGCTGGCCCCCTCTCCCCGTGCGGAGCACGCTGTTTGGGCCCTGGCACTCTCGGGCTCTCTCTGGGAGGGGCCGCCGCCCGGGGCATCCACTCCGCCGCTGCTCCCGGAGGGGCTGCTGGGAGCAGGGAGCCCGGTCCTCCGGAGAGGCCCTCCGAGCTTGGATCCGAGGTCGGATCGGGTTTTCTGGAGGCAGGACAGGGGTGGGCATTTTCTTTGGGTGGAGGGCAAAGGGTGAAATCTGAAATGCCGTTTCGTTGGATTTTCGAGGCTTGAATCTGCAAAAGGTGAATCACCAGACGGACTGATTTTCGAGGTGCGAAAGCCCATATGGATGTCACCCTGAGCCCCCCACCCGAAGAAAATGCTCAGAAGGGGTGTGGTGTAAAGGGGCGTCGTGCCATTATTGAATCTGGCGATGGAAGCTATCGTCGATGACATCACCATGTCCGCCACACCCCTTTCTGCGCATCCCTCTCCGGCGCCCAAACAGTTTGGGTCCGAGGGGCCTCGGCTCGCGGCGTTCGAGGTTCTCGATGTCCTCGAGGTTCGAGGTCGGAGGGCGTGTTCGTCGGTTCTCGGCGGTTTTCCAGCCTCGGGGTGCCTCTCAGGCGCTGCGCCTCGCCAGGGGCGTGCTGGGGGGCCGGATCGTCCCGAGCGGCCGCCGGGGAGTCGAGATAAGGCCCCCAAACGCCAGACCTCCAACGTCTCAAGAAGCTCGACGCGGAGGTTCTTCTCCGCCATCGGCCTCCAGGGGTCGTCGCCGGGCCCCGGGACCGTCATGACGAGCTGGCACCGGGGAAAAGGTCCAGACCTTGTTCTGGGGTTCCCGCATCGAGAACTTCACGGCATCGGATGTCTGGATTTATCCATTGGTCCCAAAAGCCTTTCCAAGGACGTGGGCCCAGGCCTGCCCGGGAGGCTTCCATGAAAAGCTGTCCGGGTGTCTCAGGGGTGTCGTGGATGTGTGCTTGCGGACGGATTGTCTCACGGCGATGGTCTTGCTTTCCGTAGCCGTATGGGCTCGAGAAAGCAAGTCTACCCTCTCATTCTGTCCACCACGTGTGGCCCATGCGAGGGGGTGCCGCCGACTTTGCCTAGCCGACATTTTCGGTGGCTGGGTTGGCACCCAGGCAATGTGGAAACCCAGCACGCTGGGGCAATACCCTTGGGATCCGCCGCCGGCTCTGCTAAGAAATTTGCCGTCACGGTTTCCGCCGCTCGCGCGGGGGGGCGAGGACCCTAGTGCTTCTTCTGCTCGCCTTCCATCTTCTGCATCCTCCACATCATGTTCCGCCTCCTCGTCATTCTTCCTCCACGTATTTCTTCTCGTCTTCCTCCTCGTCTTCCTCCCCTGGAAAGCTTGAGAGAAACGTTGAGAAACTGGGGACGACATCGGGGACCTTTCAAGTCGCCCCATCTTCCCTCCTCCCAACACCACTTCGACTATCTCCATCCTTCTTCTCCTTCCTCCTTGGTCCTCCGTTTTGCAATCATCCCTCCCTTATATCATCCCTCCCCTCATTCATCCTCCCTCTTGGTCTCCCTCCAATGTTCGCCCATCGTTTGCGCACGATCGAAATGATCAGTCGTTGGTTGGGCCCACCCTGTCAGCTGCCAGCATGAATAAGTGCGTCCATCGTTATCCGCATTGGTGAAGGGAATCAGCGTCGCGAGTCGGGTGATGTGGAGGAGCATGACCATGAGCAAGAGGAAACGGAGCCGCAAGAAGAGGAGGACGATGGAGGTGGAGGAGGAGGAGCAGGAACAGGAGGAGGTGGTGGTGGTGGAGGAGGCGGAGGGAAAGTAGGATGATGATGAGGAGAATGATAATGGAGAAGGAGAAGGCAGAGGATTGTTAGGAGGAGCCTGCTAAGGGTCTTGATTATACACGAGGAAATGAGGAAGATAACGGATGCACGCTGAATCGTGAAAAGTCAGGACGATGAGGATGACGAGGAGAAGGAGGACGAGGAGCAGGAGGAGGAATTGCAGAATTCGTTCCCTCCCCCCCTCCCCCCCTCCCCCCATCGCTCTCCTGCCTCCCATCTCCCTTCTCCCCCCTGAGATCCGACGTTGCAAATGACAATGCAGCATCGCACAACAAATCACGACCAGAGCCCTGCGCAATGCGTCGAGCGATTGATCGTTCTGCGAGGCGCCTGGGGCCCGCAGCGGGGCGACCAAAAAATCGCCCGTTGTGACAACAAGTGCAGCGCCAGGTTCTTGGGGCCTCTCCAGGTGGGCTGCGCTCCCCAGACGTGATCGTGCCGTAAAAAGATCAGGGCCGGGGTGTTGTTCGCTGTTGCTGGCTCCTGGAGACCCTCGCCGGGCCCTGGGACCGTCAAACAAGGACTTCCGGGGACGCCGCCCTGGGAACAAGCAGGGCGTCGCACGCCTGGGTCGACATGGGGCCCCCAGAGGTCTGGACCTGCTCTCCTGGGCCAGCTCTCCCTCCCGAGTCGTTTCCTGCGGGGCCCCAGGCCCGCAGACTGCGCAGCACTTCCGCCTCGAGCTGCTCAAGGCCTGAGGGGTCTGGGCCCCCCCCTCCGCAGCCGCTGTAGCCGAAGGCGCCCCCCCTGTCCTCGGTGGGCTGATGGGCGCTCCCCTGTCCTGTCCTTGGCGGGCCGACGGGCCGACCGGCGCGCGGGCTGCCCCCAGGGCGGCTTCGGCGGCACGGGGCGACACGGTGTGTTTGCAGAATCATCTGCAGGCGCTGCGGGGCGACGACCGATATAACGAATTTGGGATACTTAGGGTTAAGGAGTGGGGAGAGCGCGAGCGCGCGGCGAGGGCGCTCGGGGAGCTCGGCGACGCGGAGGCCGTGCCCGGGCTCCTGGAGGCGCTGCGGGGCGACGCCGATTCGAAGGTGCGCCAGGCGGCGGCGGAGGCGCTCGGGGAGCTCGGCGCCGCGGAGGCCGCGCCCGGGCTCCTGGAGGCGCTGCGGGGCGACGCCGATTTTGACCCACGGCGCCTCTGGGGGGGCCCCTATCCACCAGACCTCTACAATTTGGGCCCCAGGCTCCGGCTCCCGGATGTGCGCCTGGCGGCGGCGAGGGCGCTCGTGAAGCTCGGCGCCGCGGAGGCCGTGCCGAGGCTCCTGGAGGCGATGCGGGGCGACGCCGATGAGCATGCGCGCCACTTGGCGGCGGAGGCGTTCGAGGAGCTCGGCGCCGCGGAGGCCGCGCCCGTGCTCCTGGAGGCGCTGCGGGGCGACGCCGATTCGGAGCTGCGCCGGTCGGCGGCGGAGGCGCTCGGGAAGCTCGGCGCCGCGGAGGCCGCGCCCGGGCTCCTGGAGGCGCTGCGGGGCGACGCCGATTCGTGTGCGCGCCTGGCGGCGGCGAGGGCGCTCTTGAAGCTCGGCGCCGCGGAGGCCGCGCCCGGGCTCCTGGAGGCGCTGCGGGGCGACGCCGATTCGGAGGTGCGCCGGGCGGCGGCGGCGGCGCTCGGGAGCCTCGGCGCCGCGGAGGCCGCGCCCGGGCTCCTGGAGGCGCTGCGGGGCGACGCCGATTCGTCTGTGCGCCTGGCGGCGGCGAGGGCGCTCGTGAAGCTCGGCGCCGCGGAGGCCGCGCCCGGGCTCCTGGAGGCGCTGCGGGGCGACGCCGATTCGGAGGTGCGCCGGGCGGCGGCGGCGGCGCTCGGGAGCCTCGGCGCCGCGGAGGCCGCGCCCGGGCTCCTGGAGGCGCTGCGGGGCGACGCCGATTCGTCTGTGCGCCAGTTGGCGGCGAGGGCGCTCGGGAAGCTCGGCGCCGCGGAGGCCGCGCCCGGGCTCCTGGAGGCGCTGCTGGGCGACGCCGATTCGGAGGTGCGCCTGGCGGCGGCGGCGGTGCTCGGGGAGCTCGGCGCCCTGAGGTCTGATAGATCTTGTTTTAAGACCGGTGACACATATGCATGTTCAAATTATGATATTAAGATCGTGTTCTTATTATAAGATCGCGATCTTATTATAAGATCGCAACGCTTCTTTTCTGTATGTTTGAACATATTTGATAACATATCTTGTCAATCTACAATGTTACGACATATGTTTTTGAATGTTTCAATGTCTCGCGCGTGCTTCTCTTCTGTTTTTCTCTTGTGTACATTGCATGGCCAAAGAGTGATCGAATTGCGGTGACAGCACGCGGAAGAGAGCAGACATCATGAGGAGGGAGATAACGACGACGAGCAAGAGAGACGATGGAGGATAAGGAAGAGGAGAACGACAAAGAAAAGAAGAGGAAACACAGAGTGGAGGGGAGGAGGAGAAGGAGTAGAAGGAGGGGGGAGGAGGAGAGGAGGAGGAGGAGGAGGAGGAGGAGGAGGAGGAGGAGGAGGAGGCAGGCGATCCCCCCTCCGCCATTTCTCCGAGAGCTCCACGGCTCAGGCGGCTGTGCGCGCATATGCGCGCAGGCCGCGGCAGCGGCCATGGCGAGCCGCCGCCGATGCTGGGACCCAGGCGGAAAGCCAGGGAGGGTGAAGGCGGCGTTTAAACTTTAGGATAAGGCGAAGGAGGAAGAGGAAGAATTTGAAAAATATGAAAGAGAAAGAGCATACTTTGGAGGAGGAGGAGGAGGACAAGCAGGAGTTAGAGGAGGAGAAGGAGGAGGACGAGAAGGAGGAAAAGGAGAGGGAGGAGAAGGAGGAGGAGGAGGAAAAGGAGAGGGAGAAGGGCGAGAACAGAGAGGAGGATGATGACGAAATGTAGTGGAAGGAGGAGCAGAGCCTCTTCAGCATTCGCTCTTTCCTCCCCTCAGGGGGACGAGATTAATCTCGTCCCCCTGAGGGGAGGAAAGAGCGAATGCTGAAGAGGAAGTACTTGGAGATAGAGCGACGTTTGGACCCCAATCCACTGCCCCTCATCCTTCTTCACCTCTTCAGTTTCCCTCTTCCGCATCTTTTCCTCCTACACTTGAAACTCAAACCATCATCCGTCTCTCTCCGATCCCCGCCCTTGATCAAACGCTTCTTGAATCGTTTTCTGAGGGGGTCCTCACGTCAGGCGCTGCTGCCATGGAAATCGTGACCGAATTCCTGGGGACGCCCGACGCCTTCAACTATACTACAGATATGGAGGAGCAGCCAGACTTCGGAAAGTTGAGGAAGGCCTCAGCGATGTTGCTTGCTTTTCGGACGCGTATCGTGGTCCCCCATGGCCCCCTGGTTCAGAAGCCGTTGGAAGCAGTGTTGCTGCAATTAGCCAGCAACAAAGAAGCATCGTGGGGCCTTTCGGATTCGAAAAAAACATGGGCGAAACAAAAAGCAAAGATGATCAGGGCCCAATTACGACACGTCGACCAATCTCTTCTTAAAGTTAGGGACAAACCGACTCCAGAGTGGCTCAAGCAGTACGTGGATGCTGAACGATTGGCGAAACGGGTCAACAAACTGTTGGGATTTAGGCTAGGGGTGAGTGGCGGCGGTTGACGAAATCAAGGGGATATACTTCAAGAGGTGGCCCTATAGGGCCTAACGGTAGCGCCCTCTACCTAAGCTCGCGGGGCGCCGTCACATCAGCCTGCGGGCAACGGGCCACTCCATCAACACATGCATGTGCTCCTCTGCTCTCTCCTCCTCTTCCCACAAACTACAAATATTTCGTGCCCTCCGCTCTTGTCATTCCCTTTCAATGTTCCTGACCAAGCCGTCGCCCCTCCCCCCCATTCCCACTCCTCCGCACCGTCGCCCATTGCCCAGGCGAAGGGGACCGAGGAGAAGGAGTGGACCTACGCGTGGGACGAGACCATGAAGGCGGGAGTCCTACGAGTTGGGGGTCTATGAGTTGGGGGTCTGGGAGGGGAATTCCAATCTAACGAGGGTTCGCCCGCCCTCTCTCCCTCACTTATTCCCTTCTCCCCGCCTCCCTCCTCCTCCTCCTCCTCATCTCCTCCTCCTCCTCCTTCTCTCCCACTCCTCCTATTCCTTCTCCGCCTCCTCCTCCTCTTCCTCCTTCTCCTCCTCCTTGCCCTCGTCCTCATCATCCTCCCCATCACTCTCCTCCTCTTTCTCATCCTCCTCAGCGCCCTCCCCCTCCTCCTCCTCCTTCTCCTCCTCCTCCTCGTGCTCCCCCTCTCAAAAGCTATCTCTTGTCTATCTTGGATTGGAAGAATCCGAGTTGGTTCAAGCCCATCGGTGAGTTCGGCCATCGTCGAACTCACCGCGAACTCACCGCAATCTCTCCGCGATCCCCCCCCCCCCCCCCGAAAATGTAATGAACACCTGTATAAAATCAACCTCGGGCCCTTCCAAATTCACTGGGGACTCTCCGTTGCCACGGGGAGTGGCCGCACAATTCAAATGGCGAATTTCACTGGGATATCCCAGTGAAATTTGCCAGTCCCAGGCCGCCTACCGCACGCGGGGCAAGGCGAAGCCCGAGTATTCGTTGCCCCTGAAGTTGCCCAAGAACTACGAGCGTGACGATACCGCGGTGGCGCACTTCAGGGACGGGTCCCAGTACGAGATCACAGGCTCACTTAATAATAGGAGGAGTGCGAAAGGATGAGGTCGATCAGGCCAAACAGGTCGGAGGAGGAGGAGGGAGAAGTAGAAAGGAGCAGAAAGGAGAGGGAGGAAGGAAAGGAGGTAGAGGAAGAAAACAAGGAGCATAACGAATAGGAGTTTTTGGAAACCTCAGTGAGCTGATTCTGAGACACCTTCATTGGCAGGCGAATCAGCAGCTGATTCGCCTGCCAATGGAAGGCGGGGGAGAAGTTAACTTCGAAAACGCCTGGAAGGGCGGGGGGGGGGGCGAATTTCCTCGCAGAGGCGTCACTTGGGGCGACTTCGAAGAGCTCGAGGCCTGCGCCAAGAAGGGCCGCGACAGCCCGAACGTCTTCTGGAAGGGCGAGAAGGGTGGCTACAAGGTCACATGTATAAGCTACAACAACACGCCATTGTTTTGGGTTCCTGGTTCAACCCCCAAGGCACATGGTTTGCTCTGAAATCGAAGCTTCAGGATCAGTTGAGGGGGAACAGCTGCATACACATGTTAAGGAAGTGCCCCTTGAGGGCCCCACGAGAAAAGCATTTCCATGCGTTGCCGATGAGGTAATCTGCAACCGCTACGACAGAAAGCAGGGCCAGCAGAAGTTCGTTGCAATCTTCATGCACGACGACACGAGCACAGGCAAGCACAACGGAAAGATGATCATGAATATGCCTGTGGTGATTCATGATAAGGCAAGCGATGACGAGCGAGTTTGCACAGAAATGGCACGAAAATTCGTGGCTGGCAAGCTCGACAGGGACCAGCTCAATGCGGAGAAGGCGAAGCACATTACTGCCAGACGAGCCGAGCAAAAGAAGGAGGGCGGACCCGTGGCAAAGAAGCCAGCAGCCAAGCAGAAGGCAAAGAAGGAGAAACCGAAGGACGAGGACGAGGACGGGAGCAGCAGCAACGGCGAGGGCGCGGCAAAGCTCATGAGCAAGGACGCTGGTGACGAGGGCAGCGACGACGGCGAGGACGACTCTGACGAGGATGATGCTGATGGGCAGGGTTGCCCCGACGACTCAGACGACGACACGCCGAACGAGAAGGAGGCCGGCAAGAGCACGAGCAGGAAGGCGTGCAAGAGCCCAGAGGAGAACACAGCTGCCAGCTCGAGCAGCAGTCAGCCCGCGTTCGTCGGCAAGCGCCCTGCAGCAGTCAGCAAGCCAGCGGCCAAGAGGGTTGTCGGATTACTTGTAATCACTTCCCCACCCGTGCTTGACTCAGAACCATTTTTGGAAGTCCAGGGGCAGAACGTCTTCGGAAGTCCAGAACTTTTTGGCAAAATAGGTTCAACAGGAAATCTAACTCGAGACACGTAGACTGAAGCGCTTCTCCCTTGAAACCTGTCTCTCCCTTTCTTACCCCCCCCCAGTCCGAACTTCCAGGTGGGGAGAGGAGATGAGAGAGAGAGAGAGAGTGAGAAAAAGAGAGAGAGAGAGAGAGAGAGAGAGAGAGAGAGAGAGAGAGAGAAAGAGAGAGAGAGAGAGAGAGAGAGAGATGGAGAGAGAGAGAGAGAGGGATAGAGAGAGAGAGGAAGAGCGCGACAGAGACATGAGGAAAGATACCTGCCAGCCCAGGTGAAGCAGAACCCGCCTGAGCCTTCCGAGGAGGAGCCTGACCCTGCCGAGGATGATCCTGGCACACAGGCCGCGCACGTTCGGGCCTGGGGGAGTTGTGGCACGAGGAGTCGGATTGTTGGTGAGGATCGGGAGGTGGGATGTCGGGCGCGGGCGGGCGACGGGGACGAGAGAGATACGAGATGACAATGTATGGCAGGAAGGATGGAGAGGAGGGTGCGACGAGAAGTAGAATTTGAAAACCAGATTGGGGAGAGGGCTAGGGGGGGAGGAGGAGGAGAAGGGAGGTGGAGGAGGAGGAAGGGAAGCATTGCGTTCCAGGTGTTCCCTTCAAGACAGGCTGATCGGGTAGAGAAATAGGGGGAGGGGGAAGACGGGCAGGATGGCATGAATTAGCAAGGCGTCGACGCTGGCAGAGGATATGGAGGATCTGGAGGAGGGCATTCAGGATGGCAATGGAAGGAGGATGAGGAGCAGTGCAAAGTCGAGGATGTGAAACCAAGCAGGGATGCGTCGCCGCCGTCCCGCGATCCGTCCGAGAGGCGCCCTTGCCCTCGCCCAAGAAAAAGATCAGCAACAAGACGAAGCCATCGGCAATCGACTCCAAGCAGGAGCAGGAACTCCTCCTCCTCTTGTTCCTCCTCCTCCTCCTCCTCCTCCTCCTCCTCCTCCTCCTCCCCCCCCCATCCTCCTTCCCCCCCCCCCCCCCCTTCCTCATCTTACTCCGTGTCCCCTCCATCCCTCCCCCTCTCCCTTGCCGACCCCGCCCACCCATCCACCTACTCGCCCACCCGCCAATTCTGTCTCGCCCACCAACCCATCAGCTCCCGCCCCTAGGGGCGGAGGGAGCTCCCTCCGCCCAGCGAGGAGACCATCAACCCAAAGGAGATCGGGACGGTTGTGCCGCCAGCATCGGCACCGTCGCCGCCGCCGCCGAGCGCTGCTGGTGGAGGCGCCAGGGTCACGGATGCTGAAAAGGCAGCTGCAAGGTATTGTGAGCGTTGCATTCGCCTTGGGGAGCCCTGGGCCAAACACGACGAGGTCACAAACACCCAGAAGTTCTTGTACATATCTCGTTGAGGCCCTCGGAGGTT